ATTTTGGATGTTAAACACTTCTTGCTGTCTTGCTGTGGATAAAAGGAGAAGAATGATACCATCCATACGTCCATCTGGTCATTATGAAGCGACAGCTAGCTGCTGCTTAGCTGAGCCTTGCATAAACACTGGGAAGAAGGAGGCACAACCAGTCTCGCTCTGTCCATATGGACTCAAGGGGTTGTGGGTTTTACTGGCTGTAGCTTAAATTACTGTGCAAAGATTTGGTATAAAACTCAGAATTATTATATTTCCTAAAATGTTAAACTCTCCCTTTAACACTGGATCACATGACTATTTAGTTGTTGTGAACACAAATCAATAGATTTCCCTACTGAGCAGTACCTGTCAGCTCTGCTTTAGCTTCTTTCAGCTCATTGTTCTGTTTTAAAAGAATGTTTTTTATCTACAGCTCCTGCCAGCAGCAGCAGATAAGTCACAGATAAACTGTTATAAATAAACAGTTTTGGCTCAATGACAACTCGTTAAGAATTATGGAACGATCAGATCATGGGTAGAAGAACTTTGTTGTCATGGTCACAGTTATAAACATATGGTTCAACTAACACTCACAGCGACAGACCAGTGCTTTTGTCAATTTTTTGTCTAACACTCTTGTTTTAATCACAAATGCACTTGTGCTCATCTGAGTGTCCATGGCTGTGTCCATCTCAAAACATTTCAGAATACTGATTGTGGTTTTGACTCACAATACCTGTCAACTAGTCATTTACTGTTATTGTGAGGAGTGTATCAAGATGATAATAAGCACCTACATGGGTTAAATGAATGACTGTCTGTTTATACTGGATGTGTTAAACAATCAGCTGTTCAAGACTGATAGTTGTATTCAAAGCCTCCAAAATGGCTCCAAAATCAGTTGCTCCAGATTTAACCATGTAGACCATGTAGTGCTGGAACATATTAAACACATGAATGGACGGCGAAGAAGTGTTTCATTGTTTGATTTATTAGGATGAAAACAACTTCTTGGGGCAACAACATTTCTCCTTGTTCTTCTTTTAGTTCAAAGATAATAAATAAAAACAATAAATCATGGTGAAACATTGATTCCCACAGGGGGACCTGCAGGAGCTGAACAGTACATTTGATGGAATCTGGAGATATGAATCTTTGCAGTAGGAGGTAGAAGTAGAGGAAATAAGACTGAAAGAGTCCAGAGTCTCTCTGAGGCTTTACAGACGGAGGCAGGACGTTGTCCTCCAAGTTGACATCTTGGTCTGAATCTTTTACGAATCTTATCTTGTTTTGGGTTTTTTTTTTCAGTTTCCGTCAGAAAAATCATTCTGACATTTTCCAGACTCAAGGACTTGCAGGAAAAGTTCTGAGAAATCACTCAGACATTTGGATTCTCATGCAGCCCCTCGCAAAATTTCTGGAAAATATCTGGAGCTTAACACTCGTGAAGGAGCTTAAGATCTGTGGAAAGTCTGAGTGCTGCTGATGGAGTGTCACATTAGTTTGTTAGTTGTTGATCATTAAGAAAAGTCTTCTTGGCCTCATGATGGCGCTAAAGGGAAGGTTAAGTTATTAGAATTCATCTCCTGGTGACATTAGAGGTCTACACAATTTTAATCGACCTCATACATGATGGTTGAGATATTTCACTGGCTATAGAGCAAAAATGTGACCTTCATTAGAGGCTTCATCACTAGTCATCATCACCCTATCAGACACTTAATGAAAACTTCAACATGTTTCATCGTACTAGTTCGACCATTCATCGATCTGTCTTTACAAGAGAGGCAGGAAGAAGACCCAACAAAATATAAACAAGGAAATAGTAAAACTGGGTTGTTTCTAAAATAACCAGCATGCTTTGTTCCTTTTTAGGTTTTGAATGTTCTCCAATGGACCGGACTCAAAGTCAATTCAAAGGAAGCAGAAAACTGAAGTGAAAACATAAAAGACATCAAATTTAGTTGACTATGTCCGAAGGTTTTCACATGACAAAGGAGATATGTTGAAAAGATGGAGACGACCGAGAGAATATTTGACAAATGACTGTGTTAATGTGGGAGTGTATCAATTTACAGTTTTGTCGGAGTACAGTGTATCATCTGTTGGCTGTGTCTCTCTCTCTCTCTCTCACACACACACAGGCACACAGCGTCCTCTTGGCTTATTTTGTCACCCACCCCACTCCTCCTCCGCTGCCACTCCCCCTCCTCAGATGCCCTCCCTTTGCTCCGTCGATGTGTTTTTCTGTCCGAGGGTCCAGAGGTTAAGTTGGCCCCAGCATGTGTTAGTGCTCAGGTCAGTAGCAGCCAGGACCTGTGATGACAGAGTGTGTGAACGCTGGGGAGAGTCAGAGGTGAAATGTGTGTACAGGGGTTGTATGGCAAGTCGGGGTATAAAGGAGACACATCCTACCACCTGGTTACCTCCTGTGCAGCAGCGGCATGGTGCAATGATGTTTCACAGAGTGACATGCTTTAGTATGTCATGAAGCAGTGGTGTGCAGATGTTTTAAAAACATACATTCTGCCAAGGCCCAACTGTTCCCTTATTTTCCATCAAGCTGCACCAAACTGCTCACACTCATTGATATCAGTCTTAGAAGTCAAACTGTTTTTTTTATCACTATCAATGAATTGTTTCCCAGGATTATCTCATGATTTTGAAGAAAAATCCTTGATCTTTCCCTTCGTCCAATATGTAAAGGAGATCTTTCTTGTCCCGTGTCCCATCCTTCCGCCAACCTTCCTGGAAATCCGTTCAGGCACTTCATCCTGCTGACAAACAAGCAAAGAAACATACCAAGCAGCCAGCAAACAAACAACTGGACAGGGTGACAACATAACCTCCTTGATGAAGGTAATAAGGCAGAGTTCAATTACAGAAATAAAAGAACCTAAATATCAATTTAAAACTTTAATGCTGAAGGTTGGATTTCATCCAATTTTTTTTTTACAAAACTCTGAGAAATGGAGTCACATTTTTTGCCTCAGCAGATTTGTTAACGCATGCAGTTGTTTACTATTGAGATAATGGGTCTTTTCAAAAGTTAACACATTTTTCCTACCAATTTTCTGAACTGCTCTCCTGTTCAGAACTCACACGTTCTCATGTAGATGGAATTTTTGGTTCCATTTTTGCCAGTCTACCCAGTGTGTATTTGGAAGCGGAACATCTGTGTTAAAGCCACACGGACACAGGGAGAACATGCAAACAGCTGGTCATCACATTCAAACCTGTGCTCTCCACTGTGTCCGTGTGCCAGCGGCTTCCTCTCTGACCACAAAACAATTCTTAAGTTGTTCGCTGTAGTGCACTTAAAACAAAGAGCCACTGCACACATGGTATAGTCATAGATAATCAGAGAGGGTTTGCACACACACACACACACACACACACACACACATTAAACATAGTGAGAATGACAGAAGCAGCTGCTGGCATGATCTTGAGGTCATGTTGGATCACAACACTGAGAGAAAAAACAAATTCTTTAACCCAGGGGGTTGTCTAAGATGTGAGTTACTAGATCACATGGTCGTAAAAGGCTGTGAATGTTTCCTTCAATGTGTGTCGAAAAAAACAAAGATGGTGTTGCTGTGTGTGTTCTTATACTTGTATCTTTGTGAGGACCATTTTAAGCATAGTCCTTACAGAGTGGGTTGTTTTAGGGTTAGTGTTAGGCATTTAATTTTGATGGGCTAGGGAATGTATTATGTCAACGAGTGTCCTAAATAAGATAGATATACAAACATAGAGTCTGTGTTTGTGTGCATGTTTGCGTTTGTAATGAGGTTGTAGATTTCGGAATTTCACTTCTTCCATTTTAGTATATTTAATATATACATTATGCCATAGCGGCTGGCCCTCCCTTGTGGAAAGTGTTTTATTTTATTTTTATTTTTTATAAAAAAATATAACTTTAACAATAATGATAAATTATTTAAGTATTTATGTGTTTAAATTTCACAATAAAGTCAGTTGTATAAAATATAAATAAATATGTTCAGTGGAAATGTATGGGAAACGAGTGTTCCAGGCACACAGACAGTTCAGGGCCGCTGGAAACGTCGCCCATGAAGCAGAGACGAGTAGCCAATAGGGACTATTACTGAGGTAGATACGCATACGGCAAAGTAAATGTGGCCAATCAGCATCGCCAAAAATAATGTGCGAAGGGCGATTCTGAAAGCGCCCCACGAAACAGCATCGCAGCCGCCAAATTCGATACAATCTCTTCTCCAACCTCGATTCGAGAAGAGAACTTTGGTTGAAAAACTGTGAATTAAAGAAATTGGACCAGATTAATCTGATATTAAAATCAGCCAGCGAAAAGGGTAAAACGTACATCTGAGGATTTTCCCGTCACTGGTCCAGCAGAAAGGCTTGGCCAGCAGGATGTATAGAGTATGAGTCATAAGACATCCAGCAGTATATGGCACCTCCTTTTATTTTGTCTTAACAGTGTTTGTTAATAGCACCTTGTATGTTTCAGCAATGTGTACTTATAGTAACCGGACTCTATTATTATTATTTTTGATTTAGTTTAGTTCGTTAAGTTTGTTTGTGCAGTATACTGCTAGCTATCTGTTTTGGTGTAAAAATGACTGACATGTTTGTTGATTAAATAATTACCTACTGTTAGTGAGTATGACACAGCTCCACCAGGAACATTATCCACCTGCCGCCACTGTCACGTGTTGGTGTTCCCTCACAAGTCAAGCTGCGGGGGGTGAATGTCACCACGGTGTCCGTGGAGGGGTGGCTGACGTCACGTTATCAAGTGCACGTGCGTCGGGCGCGTTCGCATTGCTACGTCCGCTAGCATCGCTACTTCCGGTAGTGGACGTTTAGGCTTGAAACGTGACGTAGGCGACGCCGTTTCGAGTGGAATTTGAACGTCGGGGCTTGTGGACGCTTGGAAGACAACACACGAACAGAATGGAGGCGTGTTGTGTTTTTAATTACGTCCGAGGAGCTTTGGCTTCAACACTGTTTACACCTGAGACACCTGAAGTGGACTCAAACACTTCCCCCACCCCTCCATTGGCGATGAGGTGAGTAGATAATGAGTGAGCTGTCCCTGTAAGGTGCAGACATGTGTTAAGGTTGGGGTAAGGTTAATTAGAGGTTAGGCTTAAGTTTGTACAAGTGTTGGTTGGTGCCATTGTATGGACATTCAGATCAATAGGTTGCTTTTAAACATTCGAGACTGTTTAAAACCACAAGGTGTATGTTGAAAAAGTGTGTGTGTGTGTGTGTGTGTGTGTGTGTGTGTGTGTGTGTGTGCGCGTGTGTGTGCGTGCGTGTGTGTGTGTGTGTGTGTGTGTGTGTGTGTGTGTGTGCAGGCAGTGGCAAAGTAGAGACCTGTTGGCACTTGTACTGCCAGGCAGAGGTCCAACAATCCAAAAATTAGTCATTATGTGGCAGAATGAAATGCCATTAAAATAGTTCCATGTAACTACACTCTAGGGTGTATTAGAGAAATAATAGGCTTTTCAGTGCACAGGAGTGATCATTAATAAAAGTAATGTCTCGGCTTTGGAATTCCGCAGGTGTGATTTGTCTTCATCTTTAATGGTGTGGACTGATTAAGAAAGCAAACAGAGAGTGTGTGTGTGTGTGAGAGAGTGTGCATGTGCCCATGTGAAGCAATATGCAGAGTGTGTATCTGCAGGTGATTAGAGCGCCATTGCTCGTACTTATACGGTGTGTGTGTTTGCTGGCATGTGTGTCTCTGTCTCTCTCGTCTCATTGGCTGAATTATTCAGGCTTAGCAAACAGCGCTGACAAGACTGTGAGTGATCCTAAACGTTGTTATTGACTTAGACTTTATTTATAAAGTGTGTGGTCCGGCTACACGAGCTGCACACAGCGCCGCCCCTCCGAGCAGACACGATTAATCAGAAGAAAGTTATAATTAGGCCTGATACCCTCAGGCGGCATGAGCACACACACACATACACACACAGAAACAACACTATATGTGAACATGAACATTATGTATGAATGCATGTGGTGCGCAAAGACACACACATACACAGAGGGGGCCCTGTGTATGTGCGCAGGGTGGATGGGCTGCAGAGGTTTTCAGAGGGGCTGGGTGTGCTGTTTGTCCAAAACGCTTTAAGGCCTGTTCTCTTCATCTGAGAGGTTGTTAAACAAAAGTCAGTTTGTTACAGTAGCAGGGGCCAGCGGGGGTATTAATACACACCAATGCAGATGTCTGAGCATTTACAGCCATCCGTGAGAAAGCCTGTTGTGTTCAGTGTCAATTTTAATGTCTGGTGATCCCCATTTGGCTGGCCCCTATTTTGGTTCGAGGATTCACATGAGCGCCTTCAAAAGTACATATTTGTCTCTGACAGCACTTGTATTCTTCTATAGCGTGAATCACAGTCACTTGCTTTCTTTTTCTCAAGTCGTGGCACAAAAATAAACACAAAGGCTCCATTTTGCAATTACCGCTCAGCCGACGAAAAGTGAATAAAACAGCCGCTATTTTCAGAATTTTGATTTTATTATAAATAGTAGAGATAATGCGCTCGTACACATGACATATGTCACATCGCTTTGTCAAATAATACAAAAAATATATCAAAGAAATAAAAGGGCTGCTTCACTCTAACATAGTCAAAACAAGAGCGCTCGTGAAGGCACTTGATGGATTATGTTTGTTTGTCGCTTGTACAACGCGGAGAAGGTTTACAATGACACTGCTGACATACAATACGTTTGTGATGATAAACATGTCCACAATGCATCAGAACCCTCTTTTTTCCATCCCGCCTTTTCAAAATGGAAACAAAAAAGGTCCAGAGCAACACAAAACTTTAAAAAAAATAAATTTTTGGCTTTGTCATTCCTGGTCATTTTCTGTTTACATTGTTATTCCCTTGATTTGCTCTTTTCCTCATGACGCTTGAGTCCTTACAAATGTGGTCCCCTCGGTGTAGAATTACAGCAACATTAACAATGTTTTCTATTTGTTTTGGACCCAAGAGCCTCCCAAGGCACATGTGTTGTTCAAGAGTTACAAACTAGATCCAGAGTAACTGTTTCGTAAGACCTTTTTTGTTTTACTGTTTTAATGGTGAGGTTGACTCTGAGATACATGATATTGCACGTCTAGTCAGCTGGGAGAGTGGCTGTCTTCAGTCTAAACTCTCTCCGTCTCTCAAGTGTCTCTTGGATCGTGACTTGTGACCTGGTGGCTTTTTTTTTCACCAGGAAAGGATCTTTAAAGGGTTTTCTTTTTCTTTTTTCTCAACCCTTGTGATCGATCTTGCCTATCCCCCACCCACTCCTTTACAGCCACTTCTCCGCCGCCGCCCTCTACTGCTCTCTCATCTGTCACTTTCCCTAAAGTCACCTCCTGACCTCCTCCGAGCTCCGCTCTAAAAACTACAAAAGGCCCGGGAATCCTCGTCTCACCGTCCGAAACATCAATGAGACAGAAGGACAGAGAGGAGAGAGAGAGAGGGAGACAGCGGGGGAGGGAGGGGGTTAGGAGGAGTGAACTCTACCTCTGCAGTACAGATGTGGTGTACATTAGAGTTTCAGATACAATAAAATCCACAGATTTGTTTTTTTGTTTTCCTTCTCCCTGGAATTCCTCTCCATGAGTGGGATGCAGAGATCTCAAATAAATGCAATAAAATCAACAAAGCCCTTTTCTTTTCGCCCTTCCGCAGATACAATTCAGGGATTAAGTCAGAGATACGTGGAATTTCATATGAACTCGTGGCCCTAAGATATGTAAACATGTTCCTTCGAGCGTTGGCAGTCTGTGACGATAGATTTAGGTTTGCTGTCCTTACAAAGACCCCTGCAGTCCACAGATGGAGTTTGGTCGCTGTTGATGGTCCCTGACATCTCTGCTGCTCATCGACTATACTGATGCAGCAAAGTTCACAGTCAATCAACAGTTTTTGGTCTGATATTCCATCTTGTGGTCCCTTCTTTTCTTTTTTTTCTTTGTCCATTTCTCCACCGGGAATTAATCATGCAAAGTCCAACAGTGGAGAACATAGTCCTGGTAATGGCAGTAAAAAGTTTGGTCCAGATTTTAAAAGACTTCCACGGCTGTACACACGAATGTCCAAAGCTTCTGATCAGGTGATTTCGGGCCTCAGATAAGAAAGGGCACCTGTAAAAACAAAGGATGAAAAACTTGTTAAATTATTGCCAGTGAAGGGTTTTTTAAAATAAGGAAGGATGGAGGGATGATAAAAGAGATATATGGCTGTAATAAATTTTGTGCATGTGTTTTAGCGTGGCATTCCACAAACATATGGCTATTGTTAGCATAGCATGTGCTAACAGTGGTTTGGGGTGTAAGGTCAATGGAGGAAGACGTGAGAACAGAACTGTGAAGACGCTGAATGTAAATACAAGTTAAAATCTGCAATATGGCAGAGATATTACAAACTGGAAGAACATTTTATCCTGTTGATGCTGTAGAATAGAGTGCACGTATCATATTCTATGTATACTACTTCATATACAGCAGATCCTGCATTTTTCACAACCAGTGGCCGGCAGTGACTGTTCAATCAACTCATAGCGCCACCTGCTGTTATGGAGGTAGAAATTTGTAAGAATATTCTCAGCACAATCAAATCGGAAAGACACTTGATATTGTCCTTTTTTATACGTGTAAGAGGTGCTGTATTTGTCTGTGAAGCACAATGCATTGATTTTTATTTGTTCTTTGTTTGTATTTGTGTTTGTCAGTGGACCGTAAGACATTTGCATCTATGTGTTTGCTTTGATTAGTATCTGACAGAGACAAAGTAACGCGGCGAAGTTTTGCGGAAAGCGGCTGAAACCTCGTTCAGGAGGAGAATTTGTGAGTTCCTCCTCTACGAAGCTGCATAAACCAAACAAAGTACTGAGTGTTACCTATGGGGCAAGAGATACTGAAAAAAAAGTAAGCATCATTGGAAGATATTTCCAATTTTCTCTTTGGCCTGTGATGAAACAACACACATATCCAGAACTGGCATCTAACCATTTTTGTATGTGGGGACCGGGTGACAGCTGAGTTTGATACAAGGGAGGTGTTTCTGTCTTTGCAAGCCATGCATGTATTTCCCTACTCTGCAAGAGAGTAACATCTGAGCATGCTGAATTCACAAAACTCCTTCAGGCATTTGACGAGAGGATTCAGGACATGAAAAGTAAACAAAAGGAACTGAATATATTTGTAAAGCTGTTCAAGGTGGAACCAGTTGATGTGCCTGACAACAAACATTAAGAAATCATTGAGCTATAAAGCAACAACAAACTCAAAACTACAATAACCTTCCTCTACTCGAGTTCCGGGGGATTTTCACATTCTGAGAAGACATACACTGAAGTTTACATCTCTGTGAGCAGCTCTTTATGAAATTGACTCTTGTGGTTTAAGGATGTTATTAAAATTAAAAAGGCCCTTGAAAGGAAAGAGGTACCTCTGCTCTGGTTTATGTTCTGTTATATAATCCTTTCCCAAACAATTAAGGGGTAAAATGTGTAAATGTCACTCAGAAACAAACTTTATTGTATCTTTTGGAAAATATATAAGCTCAACTAGAATTACCACACTGCGGTTGTATGCCTCAGCCTCAGTGACCTTGACCTTTGATTTTTGGCCATCAAAATGAAATCCAAGTTCAAGTGAATGTTTTTACCAAATGTTAAAGGAATCCTTCAAGGCTTTCTGGAGATATCACAAGGCAAAAAAACGTGCTTTGTGAGGTCAGTGTGCGCTACTGTTTGTGCCACATGTAATGAAATTTCCTTTGGGCATTCCGGAGATATTGAGTTCAAAACAACTCAAGGACATGTGACCTTTGACCACTAAAATGTAATCCTTACATCTTTGAACGTACATTTACAAAAATTTAAGACATTTTCTCAAGAAATCAAGTGAGTTAATCCTTGAGTCCAAGTGGATGTTCACCTTCACAGAGACATCACCTTCACAAGGCAAAAAACGTGCTCTGTGAGGTCACCGTGTCCTTGGCCTTTCACTACCAAAATATACTTAGTTCATTGTTGAGTCGAAGTAAATATTTGTACCAAATTTAAAGAAAATCCCTGAAGGATTCTTGAGATATTTCAATCACAGGAATGGGACAGAAGGACAACCCATAAACATAATGCATCCGGCCACTGGCTGTCGCCAGCGTGGTCCTATTCTATGTGTACTAATTTATCTTACAGGTTATAACAGTTCCAATCCATTATGTTTTGTTTCGTGACATAGTACCATGTAATTCTTTTAATGACACAGATAACCACAGATGGATGAAGCATCCTCTGTATTTCTTCCCTTGTATTAACCACAAGGTATAATATTTAATGTCATTTGATGTAATGTAAAAGCTACAAAAGTCCATGTTACAGTTCTTTTTGAGACCGGTTATTAGGTCTTTGCTCTGATGCACAATAACTCATGTGTTTTATGTTCCTGCTTTCTCAAGCTGGGATTGCCAACATGGCTGAACAGGTAAAAAAAACATCAGAAAGTAAGACTCTGCGGTGCTGGCTACACTGACAGATGACCTGGCTCCTAAGCAGCACAGACATTACCTACATAACAGAAAATAAGTGTTTCATTCATTAACATTAGTGATTTCTATGAGGCAGTCCAGTGAAAGCTACGTGACATCAAAATCTGCAGCAGTGTGGACCAGTTTCTTACTCTGCACTGGAACCTGGCAGCAGCGCTGCTTCCCCAGCTGACCTCAGTCCTAGCACCTGTTTCTAATAGCTGCCCTGCCACAGGCTATTAGGATCCGTCCACCCCCAGAAAGGACCTTTCCTCTGCTGCTCCACAGCCAACAGCACACCAGCTATCCAGTCGCACTGATTAATCACATCAAGATGGACTGCTCAGTCTTGTAACACTGTGGAGGTGTACTTTGAGTGCATGTGCTGTCCCGGTGGCTGCCTTTCAGCCTTTGCGTGTACACACACAATGTGACATGCTAGTGGGTTTTCATGTGTGTCACTCTAATTCGTTTTTTCTGTCCACTTTGAGATATTTGACCGAGATATTTCATTAGACATTTGCTGCTCTCGGATATTAAGTTAGATATTCACTTGATACCTGCCGCCCCACAGAGCTACACGCAGCCAGACTCACTGGACCGTTTCCAAGCTCTTTGAAGGGCCTGCTTGTCTTGAGGTTGCCACAAGGTCAGTGGATGAGCCTGATTGGTCAACCCCCTGCAGACCAAAATTGGAAACGGTGGCCACTGTAATCACGCCGGGCCACAGAACGATGTTGCGTCCAAAGTTAGACAGAGATTTGTTTGAAGTTGATTTTAACCCTTAAAGTAACAGTAATGTGAAGTGAAAGAGCCTCTCACTGCTGGACAACAAAGTATTCTCTGAGGGCAAACAGTCTGAGGAGGGCGATCAGACACCACTGCAGCTACATGTTACCCTGATGGGAGCTGACTCGACAGTATACCTGACCGCAGAGTTCAGTATCAGCATCGGCCCCACTGCTTCATAGGTGGAATCAGATCTGCACAATTAACCCCAACACTTGAGACTGCATGATTGGACCCGGAAAAATGTTGGTTTTGTTTAACAAGCTGTACTGCAGGTTCCTATGTTGCATGTACAGCTGCTTTTTACCCCAAGTCACTGGATTTGAAGCTAGAGATTTGAGGTTACAGGGTCCTGGGCCGCTACACTAACAGAGTGCCTGATAATCATACACTGGATTGGCTGATTTGGTTCAGACCTCCTGATCTTACTGTCACATAGTAAGAAAATACAATCTATGTGATATCGTTAGTTATATATTTGCCTGCCTCAAAGTTTTTACATGGCTTTGCGACTCCCCCACTGAGTCAGTTTATGATGCAGAGGGACAGTAGTGATAGGGCAACAAGGGCAGAGGGAGACTGTGCTGTACAGCACAGACATAGGAAGTTTGGGCAAACAGTCATCTCAGCCAGAAATACAGACTACCAGAATATTTTACCTGTAGTAATAGTTAATTAACCTTTAAAGGTTCAGTGTGTAGATTTTACTGACATCTAGAGGTGAAGTTTCATGTTGCAGCTTGTCCGGTTTATGAATCTTACAAACTGGACCTTTAAATACAAACTAAACAAAATCAATTTTATGTTATAATGTGTATTGTATGTGTATCATTCCACTGTATCTTAATCAGTTTAGTTTATATCTGCATTGGTGGCTTTGTATTGTATTGGAGTGTTGCACTGTATTGTTTGATTGCTATAATGGCTTGTTTTGATTGAGTGTAGTGTTTTAATCGTCTTTTTTTGGGTGGTTAGTTTGGATGGTATTTATTATACACATGAATTATCTTTAGATATTTGTAATTATATAAAGATAGGTTGTTTTATTTTATTTCAGGTTGCCATGTAAAAACTGGCAAGGGACAACATAGGAAAATAAACTTTACAGTACTTGATTAATGAGAAATGTCCATATAAAAAATAATTAAACTCTTTTACTGGAAATAAAAGCAGAGTGGTTTGAACCAGCAAAAGTTAAAGGTTTTTAATACGTTCATAGATTTTCAGAAAAGAAAGTCATGTGGCTTTGTTGTTTTTTTGGTGAAATTATCTCTAAGCCCTGCGACAAGCAAATTCTCAAAAATACAACATATTTTGCAGTTTCATTTGTTAATGCAAGTGTCCAGTTGGAGAGGTAAAAGGTGAGAATAAAAAGGTGGAGTCTATTGACCTTACTTTGTCCATACTGGCCATACTGGTAGGACGCGACGTGGTCGACAGTGTAGCCCGGTGAGCTGTAGGAGGGGGTGCAGTAGGACTGGGAGCTGGGCAGGGAGGGCAGAGCAGACATGGACGGAACGCTGGTCAGACCCTCCAGGCCCTTGATGTGGTCCATGCGTTGGCTGCAGCTGGCCGCCATACCGGCAGGGGGCTCGAGGCCGCCCGTCAGAGGTGAGATGGCGTAGTCACTTTGGGGCTGATGTGGCACGCCGCCTGGGTTCAGCAGACCCATCACCTGATGAAAGAAGGACGAAGGGAAAGAAGAGAAATTACATTTTGGGTGGTTTTTTTGCTGTTGTGGTATATACATCAAAATGATTAGATACAGGATAAATTTCACCAACACAATGTGGACGTTTGGTAACTACAGTGATTGTCCTCAACCCCAACACTTCGCTGTAAAGAAGGACAACATTTTCTTTACAGATAAGACCAGAGAGATAGAGCACCACATGTGAAAGACATGTTTTCTGTTGTTTGTAGTTTCTGACGTGGACTTGTCATATATTAAATCTGTCACTTTTAGCAAACAGACACTGAAGTGTGTTTCAGACAGCAAGACAAACACGCACTCAGACACACATAGGAAATCCCCCTGTCGCAGACATCAAAAGGCTCCCAGCGAGCCTGTCCCAGACAGAGATAGCACCAGAGAGGAAGAATTAAGCAATTTGTCTCAGATCCACTGCTCCACTTATTCTACAATTCCTTTTTGACACTGCTCCAAAAACCCATGGCACGAGATAACAGCTTATCTCCGACAGAGATATGTCGACATAGATAACATGAGAGAAAAAGGTTTGTATGAGCTCTGGTCTGGTTCAGTCTCGGAATAGATTTGCAGTTTGAGAAATCCGTTAGCTCTTGACCTGGTCTTTATTAGCGACCAGATAATCGAATTTGGGAGAATATTCCTCAACCAGAAGAGAATGGAAAGAGCCGTGGGGCAAAGTGTTTCAACTGGTTTCAAAACAGACGTGATACCACCGACCTCCCCTCTTCAACGCTCACTGAACGTACCTATCGCTCATCAAAGTGCTCAGCAGAAACCATTAATAAGGAATTGAAACTGGCTTTATTACTTATGAGGAACTCTAACAGAACCTGTCACCTCAATATGTATCATATCCCATCTCCTTCCCAACAGAGCAAAGGCCTCAAGGCTCCTCCATTTGTCCTAATAAGAAGCAGGTACGCTGCTCTTTGGATCCTCTCGACCCTCTAAGTGACATATTATTCTACATCCACATGCACACATGGTCCTGCTTAAATCATTTCCCAAGTAGGGGAGGTGAATGGAGGAGTCTGTGTTGATTTGGGAGAGGGAGCTGTGTTTCCTCCCATGCCCAGTAACATTTTCCTAAAAAATTAACCTGCGCTTGGCGGGTTCGGTCTAAAGCGAGAGAGAGCGCAGACAACACAAGGCTGAAATCCGCTAAGAGGAGCAAGGATACATGCCCGTTAACTGACAACAGACTTTAGTTGGGTGACTTTAGTGTTGTTGCTCTTTACCCTTCTTTACCCATCATCCTGCTGTCTCTCCTAAGCCTCTCCCTGCCTCATGATAGGGCTCCATCAAGGGTGTTTTGTATTGGAGCGCTGCCGTTGCCAGCGGCCTAAATCGGAGTGTCCAGGAGCTAGCAGAGAATGTCGGGACCAGAGGGTGGGGGGGGGGCTGCAACATCTGAGGCAGGACATTCCTTCTCCGGCATATGAAATATATACAAATAAATTAGAACCTCTGTTTTCACATGGAGGAATGTTGAGGCAAACATTTTAAGAATGCAATCACGAGAAGGTTCCCTCAGGGTTGTGTGGGATGGACTGTGTATACATTTAGTGTTATATGTTTTATGCATGACGCAGTTCATCACTGTGTTTGAAAACAAGTAGGATGGTTATCCTTTGAACCAAAGCAAAAGCATGACAAGAGGTTTGACAAGTGGTGAGATCCACTGATAAACACACTTTTGCCCCAAACTCTCACAACCGAAAGCTACAAGAAGAAATATTTTCCTTAGTACCTCGTATTTCTCTATTTCAAGTAATTAAAAAAATACAGTAATCAATCTTCCAATCTAAACAGAGGGTTGAAGCCGACTTAGCCATGCTGCTCAAGCATTTCATGTAATATTTGTGTAAAAGATGTTGCAAAATCCTTAACTGATCCTTAAAATGTCATGGAGTTGATCAATTATCTACACTGCGAGTGTGTGTCTGTAATTGTGTGAACCTGCAAGCATGTGTGTAGCCATGCGATTGTGTCTGTGTCTTTGCACTGCTGCAGCCCGTCCTCTGAGGAGTCAGACCGTAGCAGACTGAAATCTCATTTTCTGCCTGTTAGGATCTCTAACTCGTCTGTCTCCTCTGCGCTACCCTCTGTCTAGGTGCGGAGACCTTGGGACTTCATGCCGAGATAATTGTCGGTAATTGTCTTTTCACTTCTCATTTGTCACACGCTCAATTGTCCTCCGTCCTTCGAGAGTCATCTAGAGTGAGTGAACCCGTCCTTCATTTCTGCTGCAGAGTGTGTGACTGAAGAGTGGACAGTTTGTGGTGGAAAGTACGCGAGCCAATGAATCAGTGAGCAATAAGTGTGTCTATGTATGTTCTTCACACCAGGGAGAAACATTATTTTATTACGTGTTTAAAATCTCAAATCTCATATATATTATGAAGTTGCGTGACTGATAAGATAAATCTTGCATACATCAAACAACTTCAGTCTTTGAAATCATGTCCAAATTCTCTGGTGTGGCAAGTCAAACTATCCTATAGTCTCCAGAGACATGAACAGTCAAACACAGTCCTTTTCCTGCCTAATTTGTGCGCTGACTAACTTAAATCTTTTGACTTAAATGAATTGTGTTTTTTCAATATCAATTGAATGTTCTCAATTAAAAGAATTTTTTTAAGAAGTAAGCATTTTAAGAATATTTGTAATTTTTTTTTAAATCACAGACTTCCTCTTAAAATTTGCGAAAGAAAGTTCACTTTCACAAGAAGACACAATTATTTTTATTTTATTCCATTGGGGCATATACTATATGAGGTAAATCCCCATTTGATTTGTGACTTAAAGCACCTCAAACACACATATGTAGCCTCACCTGTGGAGAAAGGCCATTTCCTATGGTGGGGTTCATGGGATTGGCCGGTCCACCGGGGCTCACAAAGCTGTCGGAGTAGCCTGAGAAGGAGTGGCGTCCAGAGGCGAGGCAATAGGCAGAGCCTCCTTCACCCTGTCCTCCGGGTCCAGAGGCCTGGTGGGCCGAGGATGGAGGCAGAGGCTGGGGCCGATGCAACGTGCTGGGCGGCTCTGATGCAAACAAAGGCATCATGGGTAAAATTAGAACACCTTCAACGTTCATCAGTTAAAAGTTGCAAAACCTAACTACTGATTATTGGGACAATTAAAACTAGTTAACAGCTAACAGCTAATTAAAATGTCCCAAAAGTGGAGGTGCTGTTACTGTGTTGAAGTCAATAGATAATATGGAGCCAATATAAATTTGACCACATGCCTGTTCAAAACATGAAATACTAAATGTAATAAAAGTTTCTTTATTTTTTCATGTGAAAGTTAATTCACAGTGTTCTACATTATATTTATTTCAAAGAATGACTCAATATTTACTTTGTGTAATTTAAAAATATTGATTTAAAAAAAAATTTCGTGCAAACGTCTAAAAATGTTTATCTAAAATAAAAAAGCAACTTAGAGCTTCTCTCTGTAAAATGCTTTCATAAACAGTTTCAGCACAATTAACTGAAACTAACACTCAAACCTGACAAATCTGTTTGTGTTCATCTAATTGAACATGGAATTAATGATTACTTTTTTTTATACCACAATTAGGTTTTGGAACCTTTTTGAAACAGTATTGAATGAAAAATGCATTGTCAGCAAGCTATGAACAAAACTTTGTTTAATTTTCTCTGCAAACTCATAAAGAGAAATATAAACGATTGTTGATGTGAACCCTCAACAGCTATAATAACATTAACAATATTAATGAACTGAGTCTGAGCCCTACCTTGTGCTATAGATGGGGGGTAGGGGCTGTCAGAGAGCTGGTAGGGAGGGATACTGGACATGGCTGAAGGCGGGAAACCCCCTGGGATCAGGTGATTAAATGCCATCAGTTGATTGGCTCCTGCCTGCTTCCTCCATCTTGCCCGCCTGTTGCTGAACCACACCTAGAAAACATGATAATGATGATGTTTGATTTGCGTGTGCTCAGTGATTCTCGTTGGACTACACGCAAAGAAACACACGCACACACTTCTTATATTGACTAATAAGTTCTCTCACAGTTCTATCTGGATGTGAAGCAAGAAACCAAAGGTTAAAGACAGTGATGCACGAAAAGGTTGTGTGTGTGTGTGTGTGTGTGTGTGTGTGTGTCATGGCTGGGTGAACTGAGTTTGTGAGTGACATGCCGTGTCCATATGGTGTGGAGCTCATGCTGGGCTTGCTTACACTTCCCATATGGAGCCTGTGGAGGAGAATTTTCTGGACTCCAGATCAGAAAAAGGGAAAGTCCCAACTGGGCCCCTGGGAGCAGAGGATGAGGTGTGTGTGTGTGTGTGTGTCTGTTTGATATTTTTATGATTTAACTTTTCATGGTTCTCTTTGTGGTTTAGGTAATCACGACCCTTGATCTAATAAAAATGATCCTGTGTTCAACAAGCATGAGTTCCTAAAAATCTGACGTTGTGTCAGACTGTGACACTGACAGTTAACGTGTATGTGTCCTCTCGTACCTGCACCCTGGCCTCTGTGAGTTTAGCCCTCTGGGCGAGCTCCTCCCTGGTGTAGATGTCGGGGTAGTGTGTCCTCTCGAAGGCCCTCTCCAGCTCCTCTAGCTGCTCTGCGGTGAAGGTGGTCCGACTGCGCCGCTGCTTCCTCTTTAGTGGCAGATCGGGCTCCGACTCCACCTCTGAACCTTCGTCTGAGTGACTCGCTGTTACAAAGCGGGAGAAAGAAAAAGACAGACAGGGTCTAGATGAGCTTTTCTCCTGGCGTCACATGTTTCATTTGGTAAAAGTTGATGCTCAGCATCTTGATGGCTTCAGCTGAGTCACTTCCCGACCTTTGGAATCGTGTTAAAGAGATAAGAGACAGATGCTACAAACCAAAATCTGACCTTAAGTATAAATTAACAAGGAGGCGGCTCTGGCATCATACTGACTAATCAGCATAAATTGTGAAATGTCAGCTGATTTGTTTTGTTTTGAACAAACCCTCTTATCGAAAGAAGCTTTTTTCCTTTCTTCACACACACACGGGCACCATCAGTCTCCCTCATGGTCTTGTAGCCAAACAGACCTCCATTCAAGAGGAATATTCCAAGCCTAAGGAATAATCCCACTGGACAAGATTCCCAAGGCACCACAGGAGGAGTGGTGGACTAACAGCCACACAAAAGGCTAATTTGGATCCAGGGGCCTGTGTGTGTGTGTGTGTGTGTGTGAGTGTGTGAGAGAGTATCTTTGGATACAAAATCTAATCTTTGACCAATTATGACCATTTTACTCAATTGTCAGCTAGTTTGATTGCTGATTAATTCATAAAATGTAAGAAAATAACAGAAAAAGAACATCAGAATTCAACCCAGAGTTCAACCCTCAAACTCATTAAATTTCCAATTACATTTTACGGAGAAATACGAGCAAATCCTCACATTTAAGAAGCTGTAACGCAATATTTAGATTCTTGTTCGTTGTACATTTTGATAAAAAAATTGCGTTAATTGACTATTTTTTATTATGCTCCTAATCTTCCAGCACCAGCTGAATCAATACTTTGAATTTAAGGAATATAACAATTTCTACTTCTGACTTGTCATCAAGTGTGATCTTCTGCCTGACTGAACCCTGGTGATATCATGAGCCCTGACAGCTTTTGTATTTCTACTTTTCATCTTTGTCTCGGATCAGTATTAATACTATTGTGCTCTATGTTCTATAAACCAGCAGTTCGGTTTTTAACTCACTACTTCAAACACTCCACTGGCTCCCTTCTAAGTTCACCAAGGCCAAAGCGCCCACTTTTTGTGTTACACTTAATTAATTCCCCCTCAGCATTGGGGAAGTTTTGTGTGCAACACTGTATTAGTTCCCCCTCAGAAGCAACAATAAAATACAAGAGAATCCAAATAGCTCAGGGCCCCTCATGTGAAACTGATCCTCTCTCCCCCTTCAGCGATTTTCTCCTCGCAACACATAGCAGTGGGAGTCAACTTAACATGCATTAGGAGCAAATTGGTAAAGAAACATTCAAGCATGAGGAAGGCAAAAAGTAAAATATTTTCAAAGGGGGGAGCGAGATAAATGGAGACGTTGCCTTAAGCCTTTGTTGAATATCTTGCAATTTTGCACACGTAGATTGCAAGCTCTTTAGCAACCTGTGTTTGGGTTAAGAATTTAAGTAACACCACAAAACTCAAAATGACCATAGAGGTTTTCATTTTCACTTTCTTAAGCTGTTTCTGGAACTGTTTCCTCATCACTGGTGAAAAAACATGCGCTGACAAAACCAATCAGCCTTTGTGGGCGACATCACTCAAATAACAAACACGCAACATTTTATTTGGCTCATGTTTCAGTAGGTGAAAAGGAATTCGGGGTGTGGAGTGTAGGGCTTTGGAGTTTTGGACAGGATGGCTGAAAAACAAGAGATGAGGCCTTTCGGAGCCTCCCCCTCCAGTTCCTGCATAGAGGAGGGCTGCGAGGAATGCTTACTCGCTCCCCCTGCGATTTTAGCAGCATGCACGTTCCTCAGCATTTCACAGGGATTTGGGCCCTGGGAAAGCTGAAGCCGCTGGCAAAATCCTTAATCACTTTGGAATTACCTATCGGTTATGACTGCTACCGGGGCTTCCAGAACTTTTCAAAAGAAGCGACAGAGTGGCACCTACGAAGTCTCTGGAGTCTGGTCGTGATAAAATCCTGAATCAGATCCTTTATGGAGGACTCAGGAGGGCTCATTTGTTTCACTCTACTTTCTTGGATCGCTACATCCCTTGATGTTGAGATACAAGATAAGATGATGGAATGAAACGATAACAATGTCTGTGGGGAAGCTCTGTCAGTGCAACATGATTATTTCAAGACTGCAAATCGTGTGGCCGACATCTAAAACGTAAGGTGATTTAAAACATTTAAAATGTGGCTACCAGCGTTCAGAAAACCGGGAAACCCGTCAGACTTTGCACATTTTCTCCTCTAACACCATCAACTCGTTACTTTTTCCAACAAACACACTTTTCGCACTTTGTCACACCACCCTCCTTAAACAAGCACCACCCTCTCCTCCCTCCTCCTGCCTCACCCGCTCTTTGTCTCCCCATCCCTCTCTTTTCCACCCATATTTCTCTCTCTGACTCTCGGCTCTTTGTTGCTGCACAGAGCTGAGGTCTTTGCCGGCGATTTCCACGCTCCATCTGTGGAATCCGTCATGGCTCCCTCGGCCCTTCACAGTGGAGGGCTGTCACCTGCCCCATGGGGGAGCCGCGGAGGGGGGGCATAAAGAGGCTCTGCAGAGGGTTGAGAGGGGTGGGGGGTAGATGGGGGGCACAGCCGGGGGGCATTCTACCCCCTTCCTCCTCCCTCCCCCCCAAAAAACACCCCCTTCCTCCAGAGGGAACTGTAAGAGCACCTGAGGGGGTGGGAAGGGCAGAGGAGAGGGGCAACCGGGGCGGTTGTGGATGTAAATGTACCCATGGGGATAGTCTGTCTGGGCATCTGTGTTATTGTTGTTGTTGTTGGCGAAGGCGTAGTATAATCACAGCTTGTGTGCCCTTTTTGCATGAACACTAGTGGAGGTGAAAGGGAAGTGCGTCCCTCCCGATATATTCACTTCTTCGCTTCTTCTTCACTTACTCTATAAGATTGAAACCTGTCTGTTTCTTAATATTTCTGACTGTTCAGCAGCACATACCTGTTTGTAATATTCTGTAACATTTGTGGAGCCTCTCAGTCAGATAAGTTGTCATTTCACCTGAATATTTAAAATTTGTCTTGACTCTGGATATTATTCAGAATAAGTAAGGAAACAAAGTATTTGCATTGTAAAGATAACCTTTTATTTTTAATCTAAATTAACACATTGGACACTTTTACGAACATACTTCCTTTACAAAAAAAACATACTGACTTAGCAACCCTCGTTGCAAGGTAATCTGCAATGAACAAAAGTAACCTCAACGACCCTACAAGTGAAATACCTGGGACTCCCAGCAGTCAAGTTCAGTTGACCTCTTTATTTTAGCACTTGGCTAGTTGTGTTTTACAAAAGAAAAAAAGTTTATTTAACCACTGCACACATCACACATCTGATTAAACATCAACTTGGCAACGATTCTAAAATATAATGCCATGCAGGGTGTTTTGGTGGCAAAGTTGTGTCAACAGAGAAGGCTGCCACCCAATTATTCCTGAAGTTAACTACTCCGTACAGCTTGGTTTAAGAGCTCATAAACACACACACACACACACACACACACGCCCAAAAACCGCAGTCTTCCAATCACATGTGATCAAGCTTGTCAGCCCTGAGGCATCTTCACTGTAGCATCCATTAACCTGCTCACATGCCTCTAAGTGTGGTCAAGCACAAACACATGCACAACACTTTCTGAAATAATATTTGTGATGATGAAACATAAAGTCAGTAAATCAGCATCAGGTTATACTAAATATAACCTCTGTTACTGAGACAGAGAATAGGAGGATTGAGAGGAGAGATGAGGGTGAAACCTTTCCCTTGCCTCCCGGATATTTTCCAGCCTTGTAAACCTGTGGTTTCAGAGTGCCCCGTTTGCCGTCATCGCCTCGCTATCCTTAAGATCTGATCACATCGATTTGGCACCGCCAAATGGCCTTGGCCAATCAAATTATCCACTCTAACCCTCATATCGCTCCCTGCCTGTATATACATGCTATATCTTAAAACGCTGTATTTATAGCCCCCATAAACACTTGACTTCTCTCTGTATACTTTTGCTCCACCTCAGCTTAAAGGAGCGGGGGGCTGCAGACGTGGTCCTGGCTCTTGTCAGCTCATCGAAATAGGAGAAAATATGAGCCTTAAAAGGGTAAAATTATCTGAGTAGGACAAAAAGCAGCCTCTGCAAGATCGCCCGGGAGCTGAGGAGCATTAAGCCACAAAATAAGAGACGAGCAGTTGGTGGGGGTGGGTGGAAGCTGGGTTAGAGGAGAAAAGAAAACTGTTTAATTTAACCAAACTGAAGCCCTGAGAGGCACACAGTGCATGGGACTCCAAGCCAAAACAACCTCTCCGCAGCCAAGAAAGCCCAAAATGGCTCCCGCCGGGCAACGCCATCCCAGGGAAGAGAAAAACCGGGAGAAGGATTCAGCTGAAGCAGAGGGGGGGGCAGTTGGATGGGGACAGAAAGGCTTAAATATGTCCGCTGAGACAGTACATATTGAGAATGTATGCATGTGTGCGTGAGAGCCAGAGAGAGTGAGAGAAAGGGGATATGTCAAACTTGGATTTTGGGACTTGGGGGAATTAACTGACCATATGTGGACTATTTACACCCCTCTTCCGACATCCCAGTAACTCTTCTGAGGCTTTGGTTAATAGTGAGGGTAAATTGAGCCTCTGACACATTTGCCCCCCCTCCCTGCCCTCAGTCGCTCTCCACCTACCCCTCTCAAAAAACACAAAACAAAAGGCAGAGGAGACAAACGCAGCATTTATTTGGGCGGGCCGACCATGCTGCTCCTATTCAGGAGCCAGGGGACTAAGTGACTGGCCGACTGCATTAAACAGTATATAGAAGTCAAGGCAGGCAGATGCTGGGCCAAATAATGGCTTTACTGACAGCTTATGGAGCCATCTGCGACTCTTTCTGGTGCGTTAAGAAAGAGAATGTGTGCATGTGTGTGTGAGGGTGTATGTCAAGTCAAACTCACTTGACTTGCTAAGAAGGAGTTTCAACCTTCACAGCTGCCCTGTAAATGAGAGTGTGCCAGAGTTCTGTGTCAGTGTCAGTGTTAGAACATGAGTGTAAAAATAAAACAAACGAAAAACGATGTGCGTGTGAGCAAACCGTCGTTAATCACCGACTTGTTATGGTGCAAAAAAAAATGACATGACATAAGTTGTAATGTGAGGGGTGTCCGGGGGGGAGCAGGAAATGATCACCTGTCATTTGTAGCTAAATGTGTTTCTAACCCTGTTTCCTGTGCAGCGCTGGGGGACACCGACCCGCTGCGGCCCTCTGACCCTTCACTTCTTCTTCTCTGTCTTTTTAACATGGAAAACGACGACCAGTGTCAGTCAGGGGGGAACATGCTGAGATCCAACAAGGTGAGCTGTGAACAGGTTCACTGTCACTCTGACAGAGAGGAGGTTTGATGACTTCATCCTCCCCATCCTACTGTCAGGCTGTTATTAATACCAGCAGCTATTAATCTTCCACAGTCCATAAGCACACACCACCGCAACTGTCTGTGACGCGCTTCCCTTTGAATATTACAGTCATGCTCTAAGTAACTGAACAGCGAAGACTTTGACTTAGAGGCACATCGCATAACAAGATTCTGTGGAACGCTTAGAATAGCAGTAATGTTATGTATAATGCTGCATTCATTTTGAAAGAGTGAGGAGTGATTTTACCTGAACTTTCAGATGGTAAACATGAATAAGGAACTGGTTTGGCAGTGAATCCCCACTGGAACAAGGAAATACCTGTGATTGAATTCTACAGAGAGGTACATTCATTCAAAGAACCTGAGCAAAACAAAAATGACTCTCATCCCACACTGCATTTTATAGCTGACATTGTGAAGCCCGAAGACAATTACAATTAATTAATAATACAATTATATGTACAACATAAATCTATGAGAAGCTACAATTTCTGCGCCTGCTTGATGCTTTCCTGTCTGAGAGTGCGCACATCATGGCACGACTACGGCATTAAAACACATTTAAAGCCTCTTTTCCCGTGTGCGACACAAAGCCTTCTGGTCTAATTAGTTAACAAAGCTCTAAAAGAAAGTCAGGCCTCATCAGTCAGGTGATTGACAGCTGCCTGTCCCCCATCAGCAGTGTAGATGCTGCATTTACTGGCCTCTGGCTGGCCTCTGCAAACTTTGACACTCGACCCTCACCCCAAGTACACGCACACATTGACATACACAGAGATTAAAAACAATCATGCTCCGAAACACACAAATATACGAAAGGGGGAAAAAAAGCACACAAACTCACATTCCTCTCTTACGTTCTCAGAAACACACACAAACACACTCATGCACATTAAAAAACAACCTCTCTCCCCTCTTGCCCCCCCCCCAGCTGTTGTGCATACTTGCAGCAGATAAAGAGGGGCCTTATTCTAAGGCGAGCCATTCTACTTGACCTTCGGCGGGCCTTTTCACTCTTTCACTCCCTTCAAACCGTCTTTGGGGCTCGCTCGCTCGCAGCTCAATGTGGCTAGTCCATCACGGGTGAAGGCTGGGGCGCTAGTTCGGGGTCTTGAAGGGGGGAATACCCCAAATACCCCCTGCCCCCTGCCCCCTCCACCCACCATACACACATGCACACACGCACACACAAGCGCCCCCCCCCACACCCCCCCACACACACACACACACACACACACACACATCTCTCTATAATTGAGGACACTCATTGACATAATGCATTCCCCCCCCTCCCCTCCCACTCAGAAATCACCCTGACTTCAAAGTTGGTGTGCATTCATTAATTGCCCTTTGAATTGATATCAGAGGGTCACAATAAGAGTGTGAAAGGAAAAAGAGGCTTTAATGAAGCATAGAGCAGCCATTCATTTGCAGATAACTATGTTTTCATGCTTGAATAGTCATCATGCATGGGCTTATTAGAAAAAAACTCACGGGAGAGGGAGGAGTGCGGGACGAGGCGAGAAGGACAGAGAGACGGAGAGAGCCCGAGGGTAGAGGAGAGTGATTTGGTGCTCACCACTTGGCCCTCGTGCCCCCCTTTGCCCTTGTGCCCAGGGACTCACTGAGTGATACATTCATTCTTTCAACGGACAGACAGAGCCCTCTTCACCAGACACTCAGCTTATAGGCCAGTAATAGCCAATAGCTATTATAGGGTCCATCGAGACCTTATTGGTTCCGTCTTTGTCACATTTGACGAGACAGAAACAGCAACTGGCAAATTACTGAGGCTGCGACCAACAATTATTTTCATTCTCCGTCCATCTGCTGATTTTTGTCTTGATTATCCGGTTCGTTGTTTGGTCTCTTACAGGCAAGAAAATTGAAAAAAACATACATAAATAAAATTCTCTAGTCCAAGGTGATGTCATCCGTCTTGTTTTGTCTGACCAAATGGAAAGCCCAAAGACGATGACAGATAAAAACACCAAATCCTGATATTAGAGAGCCTGATGACCAAACTGATACTGAAAAAGCAGTCCATGACCTAATTAATGAATTAACTCATCACTTCAAGTTATGCTTTACTTTGCTGAAATCTAAATCTTTACTATAATCTCCTCTCTCTTGTTCCCATCTCCTCTTTCCTACT